GAAAGAGCAAGAAAGCACTTCCCCAATGGGATCTGGCCATGCTTCAGGCCCCTGTCCTCCATTCCTCCTCTTGTCAGGATCTCGAGCACATGTATACATGCACCTGGCATGTTTGTCATGCTGTCCGGGCTGGGATTTGAACTCTGCTCAGCAATGTGGGATCCAGCTTGCCCCACACAGTGCTTACTCACTGCAATTTGAAGCTGACCCTATAACTGTTTTTGTACATTGTTGAATTTGAGTTGCTAATATTTTGTTGGGAGCTTTTGCATCTGTGTTAATGATCCATTGGTCCATTTTTTATTTGTTTGTTTCATTCATTTATCTATTTTTAAAGACTATTCAGTTCTCTTTGAGACGGAGAGAGAGAGAGCTAGAGAGACAGGTACTTCCAACAATATACTCACATTGTGATCCATTGTCAGTCTCATCTAGTCCCAGATATGGCGTGTGTGTGCTGGTGTGTCCAGGGAGACTTCCAGATGTGGGGCAGCCTTATAGCCTTGTTATGCTACCATTGTATCAACTTCTGGGTCTCAAGTCTATAGTTTACTTACCATGTCTTTGTCTGGTTTTGGTACTAAGGTAATACTGGCTTCAAAGACTGAGTATTCTCTCCAGTTCTGTCTTCTGAAAGATATCGTAGGGAATAGGTATCATTTCTTCCTTAAATGTGTGTTAGAATTCACCAGTGAACCCATCTGGGCCTGGTGTTTTCTGTTTTAGAAGATTATTAAATAATGATTGATTCTTTTTCTTTACTAGATAAAGGTCTATTTAGATGGTCTATTTTTCTTGTCTGAGTTTTGACAGATAGTATTTTTTAAGGGATTATGGACTTATTATGGTCCAGTATGTATCTGGGCCATCAAATTCATGGCATAGAGTTGTTCGTATTAGCTCTTGGCTGTCCTTCTATGACTGTGGGGGCTGCAGTGATGTCCCTCCTCGGCTTTATGGTATGAATAACTTAGGACTTCGCTCGCTTTTTTCCTTAGTTGGCCTGGTCAACGTTTGGTCAATTTTATTGATGTTTTCAAATAATTACCTTTTGACTTCATTGGTTTTCACTGTTGATTCCTGTTTTCATTTTTGTTTATTTCTGCTGCAATTTTTGTTCTTTCTTCCTGCTTATTTTGGAATCAATTTGTTCTTTTTGTAGTTTCCTAAAGAGGACCCTTAGATTGCTTTAGACTTTCCTATTTTTCTGATATAATCTTATTTCGGTGTATTATTGTAGCCTCACCACACAAAGCTTTTGTATTCACTCGTTTCCTCTTTGCTCTGCAGGCTCACACTGAGGCACGGAGTTCCATGTCTCTTCACCAAGGCAGGATTCCTTCATGTAGCTGGAGCCCGGGTTCATCTCAGCTGCTGGTGGTTTAATCAGCCACCTGCATTTCTAGTCCATACTGCATAGGCTCATGCAGAGCGCTCTGTTCCGTCAGTTCTCTAGGCAGGGCCAGACTGGAGTGTCAGTGCGTATCTGTGGGATGTCTCGGAAGGGAGTAAATGTGTATGCCCTATCTCCTCTGCATGCCGTTGCTTACCTGTGCCTATGTTATGTTGGCCAGCTTATACTGCAAAGATGCTAGTTGTGGCTCTCAGCTTGGGCAGCATGTTGTAATCACTGGGCGAGCCCAAGACACTCTGGGACCCAGGCCCTAACGCCAAGCTCCTGATGGAATTGGCTTGAACATGAGCCCGGGTGAAGATCATGGTCCCAGATGCTTCTCTGTCATACACCCCTCTTCACTCACCCTGACTCTCCTAGAGCTCGCACAGGGCTAATTGTTAAGAAATGGGAATAAAAATCAACGTTACGGCAGCACCCTGACAATGGCGGTCTCAGGCTGCGTTCCTGGGTGCCCCCAGCTTCCAGGCGAAAATCCTGTGTGAGCAGCCCAGGGGCTTGTTCTGGGCAGGAGTCCTAACGGGCCCCAAGAGGATTAAACAACCTCGATAAGATCCCATTGGGAACTTGCCCCAGAGGTTGCATCCCTAGTGAGGCTTGCTGCCCAGAGTTGGGACCCTGCAGCCCAAGAGTCTCCTCCTTTTTTGATGCTAACAGAGAGGAGTGGGGAGGGATCCCACAGGAGGACAATGCCCTGATGTCAGCTTCTGCATTGCCTTTGGCTGCTCATCAGCAGAGCCTGAGATGTCCTGCAGGTCTCCGAGAGCCTTGACGGGGCTTTGCAAGCACACCTGGAGCACAGGTTCTGGGTGAGGACAGGCTCTGAGGCTGAAGATCCACAGGCTGACGTCCTCCTCGATGGATTGACAGAGGGAGAGACAGGAGTGACCGTGTTGGGGGTGGGGGTGGGGGGTGACATTAAGAATTTAGGGAAAGGAGGGACCAGCAGTTAGTGTAATGGCTATGCCTCTGGACTAGTCGACCGCGGTTCGAGTCCCAGACCCAGTGGCTTAAACTCACGCCGGGCACGTGTGTATGCGTGCCCAAGATCCTGAGAGGAGAATGGAGGAGAAGGGATTGCAGCGTGGCCATCTCCCCGGGGGGTGATTTCTCGCTTTCTGTCTTTCTGTCTCTCTCTGTCTGTCTGGCTAGCGCACGTGCCCTATAGCAAAAAAATCAACCAACCAAACAAAAAAAAACCCTCTTTGAAAGAAAAAAAAAAGAATTTAGGGAAAGGAGAATGCATGCAGGGACAAATAATTAAGGTATCTTTTTTGGAGTCCCTGCAGGAGGGGGAGAGCGGGGCCCAAGGGAGGGAGGACTCCTACCAGCTCGTGCAGACACCGATGCAGAGGTTGTTGACAAGGTGGGCACACTCAGGCATCCGGGACCCCTATGAGGGCAAATGGGTCTCTCTAGGTGCCCCCTTTCTGTCCCATCTCCCACTCTTCAAAGGAGAAAGTCCCAGGGGCTGTGCCTGCTCTCCTCATGAGCTGACAAGGCTCACGTATGGTCTCCTCAAGTGACGGTGCTGGCTTGGGGGGAGACCGCTGACAGTCCCCACAAGAAGGACAGAGCAGGAAGCCTCTTCCTCTCACTTCCCGGGGACTCACTCGTTCAAGGGGCGTTCCTTAGCGCTGTGCTCGGCTGTAGGATGGAAGGCCAGGAGTGCGGGGCCCCTCGGTTCCAGCCAGGCTCACCCTCCCAAGAGAGACTGCACGAAGACATGGCTCCTGTGTAGGACAATGGGGGGTCACTCCTGGTGGACGTGCAGGTGCGGGGCCAGCTCCGGAGAGGTAGAGAGGAAGGCTGCCTGGAAGCGCTGGCATTGAAGCTGGGGCTGAGCCAGGTTTCCCGGTGGGAAAAGCAGATTCTGGGCAGAGACCGCGAGGTGGAAGGGGCAGGAGCCCGTGCGCCTAGTGAGGGATGCAGGAGGCTGGACCGAAGTTTCACAGAAGCATCTGAAGAAAGGCAGGGAGGGTTCGCAGGGGAGAGGCGAGGTGGCCCCTGCCTCCTGAGGGTGGGGGCGACTGTGCCTTCAGGCCCTAGTCCAGGCGTGACCAGGGAGGGACATACCAGGGCCTGGTCCCAGAGGGGCAGGTAGATGAGACCAGTTGAATTGCCCGACCATTGTCAGTGGTCAGGGTCTTGGCAGACAGTATTTCTGAAGGCTCCCCTCCTTCTCCGCCCCTCTGCCCTCCTCCCTCCACCCTCCGCCCTCCTGGGCAGTTCATGCCGACTCCTTTCTGTGCCCACGGGCGTGCTCAAGCTCCCTTCGCCCCCTCTGCAGGTCCGGACCAAGGACAGAGTCTTCGACAGCATCAGCCACCTCATCAACCACCACCTGCAGAGCGGCCTGCCCATCGTCTCGGCAGGGAGCGAGCTCTGCCTGCGGCAGCCCGTGGAGAGGAAGCAGTGACGCCGCCCTGCTGCACCCCTGCCGCACCGTGCACCAGGTCAGGCGCACCAGGCTCCGCAGGAGCTAGGGCAGCCACCGGGAGCAAGCAAGGCACCTTCCCCCAGGGCCCGGCAGAGGGGCTTCCTCCAAGGTCAAGTTGCATGAACTCGGTCCAGGTCTCACGCACTGAAGGTGTACATACCTATACATCCTGTACAAACAAGCCCTCTATATTTATATTTTTTAAGACTAAAAAAGATATAAGACTAACGTTCTGTGCTGTATGTTTTTAATGAAAAAAAAAGGAAGTTTGACTGTAGTTGTCCAGGCAAAAATGTAACCCCACTGACCCATGCCACTGGCACACCCATGAGGCAGCGCACCCTGCAGCTTTACTCGACAGGGCCTGGGGCTGCGGTCCTGACAAGTAGGGAGTAGGACGCAGGAGGGAGGGGATAAGGCGGTGCTGCTCCAGTGACGTCCAACCCTGCACTTAAAGTGCTGGGGAAGGTCAGTCCGGGGCCTCCTCTCTAAGGCGTCAGTGCCCAGCTCCCTGGCAGCGCCATCTCCTGGGCAATGCCACCTCTTGTGCTTCCAGCACTCACCGTGTGCACGCGCTTTCTGACAGTGGGCGACCCCTGCAGCTTCCCTAGGGAACAGGGGCACTCCAGCTCCTCAGGGTTGTGCTGTGGGTGGAAACGGACACCCTGCACCTGGTTCTGCAGGGCACACTTCGGGGGTCGTTTTATGACGAATATGGCACCCAGAAGCCTCACTAGTCACCATCTTGCTCAGCACATGCTTCCCTGTTCTCATCCCTATAATGCAAAGTGAGCGTCTGCGGAAGGGTGGCCAGGCCGCCTTAACCAGCAGGCTGACTCTGGGCTGCTTGGGGCAGCTGCTGGTCAATTGTCTCCTCGCCCCTGTGCAACAGCACAGCAGAGCAGGCATCAGAGCCGGGCTGCCTGGAGACTCGGGCACTGGCGG